GACATTTAGAAATCAGCTTTTGAAACACAGTAATAATAGCATAAGATGCGTTGAATTAGACCGACCATGCTGGTTAGGGATGGTGGGAGTTACAGTCCCTTTTGAAAGAAGATATTTAGAAATCAACTTTTGGAACACAGCAGTAAAGTGTTTTAGACTAACTCTGCTGGTTGGGGATAGTGGGAGTTACAAATGAAATAACTAAATACAGTCCAACACATATGGAAAGGGCCAGGTTGGTGAGTAGCTTTTCATGGCTCCGTGTAACTCCCGCCCTAGACTGCTGCTTCCCTGTGCTTGAAGCTGGTATTCTATTAGAAACATGAAAGTATAAGTTTCCCTTGCATGTCCAAATGTCCTTTTTTGGATGCTCCAGGGGGTTAGCATTCCCTTCCTCTCTTTGCACCCTCCAACATAGCCCCCCTTCTTTATTGCTATCCCTTCTTTATGGGAAGCAGGACATATCTTAGAGGTGTCTGACTATGTCCCTGTCGCCAGACATGAAATGATGGCATCAGCACCAAGATCCACTAGCGGTCTCAGTACCAGGCTAACTGTTTTGAGTCTGGCTATGGGGCTGTAGACCGATGCTTCTGCCTGATACCCACAAAGCAGGGAGAAGGGCTGTCAGAGTCTATATGCTGCACAAAATCATACAGGTTTGCAGCCTTGGTGGTGCAACTTTGCCATTCATGCTCCAACATTGTGCAGCACAACTAGCGCCTAACGTCACATGCTGCAGAGATTTTTGCTATCAAATTGCAAGGATTTGACAATAATAACAGCACAGAAAGATCTAGGTACCCTAGGCCTCTCTGCCATCACCTCTGCAGACATCCATGTTGGCTTTGCAGAGGATGGAGGAAGAAGAAGAAAAGGGGAGTACCATATATATGCGACTATAAGTCAGTTTCATGTATAAGTTGAGGGCAGATTTTGGGGTCAAAGTTAAGGATTTTTATATAACCCATGTATAAGTCGAGGGTAAAACTTAGGTGCATGTAGCAAAGGATGCAAAGGATGAAAAAAGGAAAATGGTACCAAAGCACACTGCTTTTTTTCCTACCCAGACATTCAAAAAGGCTAGAAGTGACACCACAGTGGTTTAAAATAGAGAGGAGTGTTGCTTCTTTTAGTTTCTTCCGGGATGAACTAAGCTTTTGCCCTTTGCCACTCTAAGAAGGGATTGGTTCCTTTTTTGATAGGAGTTAAGGTACAGTATTTACATTGACCTATGAATAAATCGACCCAGGTTTTGGAGGTCAATATTTTGGGTAAAATTGCTAGACTTACACATGAGTATATACAGCAAGTTCCTTGCTTGCATAGATTTAGGGGAGGGAGACAAACGGAAAGGAGGCACATAGGATGGATGGCACATCCCCCATGCCATTCTCTGCAGGCCAGGTGGCGTGCCATAATTCAATTTCCAATCCAGCCAGGAGTCCTTGCAGGCTCGAGTCAAATAAATCCCTCTCTTTTCCCCAGGAAACATATGGCAGGACTGTGGGGTCGTTCGGTGCTTTAAAACGGACGAGATGCAGCGGCCGCAGTTTTGAAGGCTGCCTTCCTCCAGTGGACCCATCAAGGGTGCTGGAGCATTAGAAATTTTACCTACGCCTGGAGAAAACCCGATTATCGCTTACCCTGCAAGTGGCGATTAGCATGGGATTTCTGCAGCAAAGGGAACATGCCGAGCTTTCGGCCGCTTTGTTTTCTACATTCAGATCTCTCTGTCCAACACGCACACAACTCCCTTCTGCTCCCTGCAGTCCCAAAAGGCTTCAGGTGTTACAAAGTCTAATTATCGGCGATCAAAAGGAAGGATTTAGAAAAGAAAGGAACAAGTGGGAGCCAGGGGACAGAAGCTCTTTTATGCACCTCGCTTGCAAAGGCAGAGTGCAGAAAGAGACAGACAAACAGATGCTTTCAATGCCTCCTCCTTGCCTCCCGCCCTTCCTCTGTCAATGCACAAAAAAGGTTGGATGATGTTCTGGTGCGAAATGGCTGAGTGTGGGATATCTCTGTGCTTTTCCATGACTTTTTACAAGAAAAAAATCCCATCACATTCTTACTGTTTGCTTCTCAGAAGCTCAGTTGAGCTGCTAAGCTGTTTTGTCATCGGGCAAAGACACAAAAGTGACCAATGCACAATGGGACTGATGCACAAAAGGATGCGCATTGGGCGCTCTAGCCCGTATGCTGTTACACATTTTTGCAATTCCTTAACAGGGTTTCCTAACAAAGGGGTCAAGTAGCCACTTACTTACCGTGTACACTCGACTATAAGTCGAAAAATTTATGCTCAAAAATTGACTCTAAAATCCTGGGTTGACTTATATGCATGTCAAATCAGTAATACAGTTTAGAAAGGTCTTAAAAGAAGCACCACCTTGGTGCCCCACTCTCCTTGCCTTGGCAGTGATTTCTAAAAGAGCTGCCAAGGAAGAGGTGGGTGTGCGTATGTAAAGGGGGTGATTCACTTCTCAATCCAACGTTAAAACCTTCTCTTCCATCCTTCCTTCTCCCTCTGGATCTCCCCTGTTCACCAAACATCACCTTTCCTTCTCAATCCAATCTTAAAGCCTTCTCCTCCCCAAGGTTTTACCCTTGATTTATCCACGGGTCATGTCAAAATCCATGATTTTGGTCCTAAAACATTTCCTCAACTTATACATGAGGTTGACGTGTACACGAGTATATATGGTAGTCAAGTGTACTTAGTATACCCTCAGTATATCCGTTGGCAAGGAATGTTAGGATGGAGGGTACAATAGCCTTTACGTCTTGCTGGTGGGCTTGCCATAGGTTTGCATGAATAGAGAGTTGGACTGTGGAACCCACTACCGCAAGATAGAACAAAGTCTGCCAGTTTTGATGGATTTAATAGGGGAGTGTTTCTTCTGTTGTTAGTGTCTTTGTTGTTAACACCACTATGGCTGTATGTACAGATGAAATACAATGGGAGAAAATGGTTTGAAACGGGATTGATTTGTTTGTTTGTTTGTTTCTTAAAATGCTATGTATTTCTTTTTCCTCTTGCAGCGCAGGGGTTGGGAGAACAGGCTGCTTCATTGTCATCGACGCCATGCTGGAGAGGATAAAACATGAGAAGACGGTAGACATCTATGGGCACGTCACGCTCATGAGGTCGCAAAGGAATTACATGGTGCAGACGGAGGACCAGTATAGCTTCATCCATGACTCCTTGCTGGAAGCCGTCGCCTGCGGGAACACGGAGGTCCCCGCGCGGAATCTGTACACCTACATCCAAAAGTTGGCACAGATCGAAGTGGGCGAACACGTCACCGGCATGGAGCTGGAATTCAAGGTGAGTTGTCTTTCTTGGTGAGCCGCTCAAAACAGACGTTACGTGTCCTTTAAACCAAGCCGGGAACTTGGGGCCCTACGTATGTTGCTGGATTGCAACTCCCATCTGTTCTAGTTAGTTCAGCCAAAGGAAAGGGAAGTCTAGCAGCCTATGGAAGTCCAAAAAATGGCATATCTCTTGGGATGGACTAAGCTCTCTTCTTTCGCCAGTCTATTCCAAGAAAGGGATGGTTCTTATTTTGATAAGAGTTAGGGTATAGTACTTATATTGACCCATACTGGGAGTGTAACAAACGGCTGTCCCATTTTCCTCAAGGAACAAATACACACGTAGTAACTAGAGAGGCTAAATTTCGAAGTAGGGCTATTCAGCTGAGAACATGTTTTATTGAACACATTGGGGTTGCATGTAAAGGTGATGAATTAATTTAAAACTATTTTGCCTTTGTATTTTATTATCCCTTAGTTTGTTATAAGACAACACTTTTACAGTTTGCTACTGTTAATTTAAATTAATTTATACACTATCTTATTTTAGTCTTAATTTATCTTAATACCATTGTATGTCATGCATTGTATTTTCTTGTATTTTACCATGTTTGATGTTAACCATTTCAATATGGTCGACTGACTAATCAATAAACTTTTAACTACTTATATTGACCCGTGGATTTTTAAATCCATTTTTAATCCATTTTTGAGTAAAATTTCTAGACTTATCCATGAGTATATACAGTATTTAGGTTAAGTGTGTGTATTTGATTGTGCACCTTTGGCCACGCTGACTGTTTTTGTATTGTTTGTATTGTCCTTTTATATTTTTAAATGCCCTATATATTGATGGCACTGTGTAAATAACAACAATGATGTTAACAACCCTTGCCTCTCTCTGCTTCTGTTTGCCTTGCCAGCGGCTCGCCAATTCCAAAGCCCATACCTCCAGGTTCATCAGCGCCAACCTCCCATGCAACAAATTCAAGAACCGCCTTGTCAACATCATGCCATACGAGAGCACACGGGTTTGCCTTCAGCCTATCCGAGGAGTCGAGGGCTCCGATTACATCAATGCCAGCTTCATTGATGGATACAGGTACAAAGGCCTTTTCAGCCAGCCGGGCAAACGCCCTTGCGACTCCACCGCATGTATGTAACTACCCATGTAACAGGATTCAAAGATATAGCTATGTCAGTCTGTAAAATCAGTATGTAAAGGGATCTTGTTGCATGTTTGAGACCAGCTGTAAGAAAGAAGGAAGTTGGGAGCATGAGCTTTCATAGACTTCAGCCTACTTCCTCAGATGAATTTGGAAGTAGGTTGAAGTGTACAAAAGCTCATGCTACCAACTTCTTTCTTTCAGTTAGTCTCAAAGGTGCTACAAGATCCCTTTGCATACCTAGGTAATGACATGGCTGTGGGATTTATGAGACTGGACCTACCATTAGCCAAAGAAAGAGGATTGCCTCGGGTGCCACATATTGAAGGGGCAACAAAATCAGCCTCCATTTGTTTCTCCCAAGCTTTCAGCTACCCTCATCAAATCTTGTTGTGTGCCTTCCAGTCCTTTCGAACTTACGGCGAACCTGTTGCAGGGTTTTCTTGGCAAGATATCTTGACCATTGCTTTCCTTTTAAGGCTGAGAGCACAGAACTTGCTAAAGGTTGGGTTTTCATGGCTGAGCGGGGATTCAAACCCTGGCCTCCAGGACTCTTAGTCCAATATTGAAAACCACTACACCACACTGGCTCTCAAATGTTGTTTCCATCCAGAGACCTTTTGCATGTAAAGTGAGCATGATAACCAGTACATTATGGAAACGCTGCTGCCCTTGGATATGCCAGAGGTCTAGGGAGGGTCCTAACATTTGCCAGATGAGACGGCTGATCTATTACAGAGAGGCTGAACGTTCCCTCCATGAGAGTCATGCTCTTGGAGGACAACCCAAAGGTCACACCAGTTTTTGCATGTGTTACTTTAGTCTGCTTCCTGGCCTCCTTATTTATTTATAGCGTCTCTACCTGGCTTTTAAGCTGTAAAGGCTCTCTGAGAGCCTCTTACATCAATAAAACAAGACGGTCGCTGCCGTCGGGCTCACGGTCTAAAAGGATATGACACACAAGGGAAAAAAGGATGAGAAAAGAAACGGAAAGCAAGAATTTTTGGGCACAAATTCTTAATGTTATCGATAGCTTAACTATCAACAGCCCTCCACATTTGCAGCTTTGACTTTTGCGGGTTGAATTATTCACTGATTTAATAGATACATTCTCTCTAAGAATCTCTAAGTCCTCCAATGTGACTCTGCTGGAAGTTGACCATAGAGTCACATTGGAGGACTTGAGAGATTCCAACAGAAAATACTGCTCTAGGCATTTGTAGGTCCCCCAGCATGATTCTGTGGTCAATTTCTAGCTGATTTTGACCACAGAATTATGCTTAAAGACCTAGAGATTCCAATAGAAGAGTTCTGTCAGGTTTAAGAAAACCAACAAGATCAGCAGCTTAACTACACTGGCTTAGCAAGGTTCCTGGAGAAATACGGAAAAACTGGGGAAATGTCTTGGAAAGATTTAAGAAAAAACATTTCCCCCAATTTTTTCCCAAAGCCTTTTCTCTGGAAAAATTGTAAGGAACTGAATCGGGGAATATTTTCTTTTAAAATAATGCATAAAGTGTTAAAGACAAGGTGTTCACACATCTACTGCCCCTAATTCATTTCTGGAAACTACGTAGGAGGAAGACTTTTATATAAGAGTGCATAAACTTGTGGTATAGTAGTTCGAGCGTTGGACTATGACTCTGGAAAATTCAAAGGTACAGCCATGTTAGTCTGTAGAGAGATCTTGGTAGCACCTTTAAGACTAACTGACAGAAAGAAGTTGGCAGCATGAGCTTTCGTAGACTTAATTTATAGCGCTTAATGCATCTGAGGAAGTAGACTGAAGTCTACAAAAGCTCATATGCTGCCAACCTCTTTATTTCACTTAGTCTCAAAAGTGCTACAAGATCTCTCTACATAATAACTCTGGAGATCAGATTTCGAATCCCAACTTGGCCATGGAAAATCATTGGATACCTTAAGGTGAGTCACACTCTCTCAGCCTCAGAGGAAGGCTGTGGCACCCCCCCCCTGAAGAAATCTTGCCAAGAAGACTCCAGCCTTAAGATCACCCAAAGTCAGAAATAACTTGAAGGCACACAACAACAACAACAACAACAACAACAACAACATAACTCTACCAATTGATATTTATACAATGCTGGAGCAATATAACATCTCAGTCTTTGTTTTTTAACGCTTTGCGTCTTTTCCCTCCTAGGCAACAAAAGGCGTACATTGCCACCCAGGGACCGCTGGCGGAGACCACGGAAGACTTCTGGCGCATGCTCTGGGAGAACAATTCCACCATCGTAGTGATGTTGACCAAGTTGCGAGAGATGGGCCGGGTAAGCCAAGCAGACACCTGGGTAACACCTGTCTCTTCCCTTCTATGTTGAAGGGGATGATAGAAGGGGTCTTAACAGGGCCATCTCCAAGGTGTGGTTGTGGGACATGTGAGATGTGACATGAAAGATGCCCCTCAAGTCGCCACGATGCTGCTGATGTTTCCTCCGCCACTATGGACCTGGCAAAAATTCTCCCCATAGTCATCAATTGGCCTATGCTCCTATAGCCGCTCTATGTGGGGTGGGTGGGTCAGGTTTTATCAGGATTGTACCAGGGATCTAAGATTTATCCTTCTCTTCCCATGTGTCCCACCACCCACCTTTAGGCCACAGTGGTTGTTTGCTAGTATTATAACTACTAGATCAGTAGTTCCCCAGCTTTGGTCTTCCAGCTGTTTTGGACTTCAGCTCACAGAATTCCTGATTGTTGGCCAAGCTGGCTGGGGTTTCTGGGAGCTGAAGTCCAAAATACCTGGAGGACCAACATTTGGGAATCATTGTACTCTATGGAACTCTATTGATCAATCCCAACTAGAGTAGAATTGTAGAGGTGGAAGAGGCCTCCTGGGCCATGGACACCAACCCCATGCTCCATGTAGGAAATCCAGCTAGAGAAGTGGTTCCATACTTTTTGGTCCAACATTTGTTTTGGACTTCAGCTCCCAGAAGCCCCAGCCAACTTAGCCAACAGTCAGGAAATAGGGGAGCTGACATCCGAAACATCTAGAGGACCAAAGTTTGGGAAACACTGAGCTGGAGCATCAGAAGCAGGGAGCTGTCCAGCTTCTTTTGGAAGATGTCCAGAGAAGGATCTTCCATCATCTCCCACTAGGTGACGTTGGGCAAGTCACACACTCTCAGCCTCAGAAGGCGGCAATGGCAAGCCTCCTCTGAAGAAAGCCCCATCACAGGTCTGCCATAGGGTTGCTGGAAGTTGAAAATGACCTGAAGGCACACAACAACAAGTGAACACATAGGTAAATTCCATTGATTCAGTCAGTGTACTCCATTTAATATTAGCAGCAGAATTCAGACTATTGTTATTATTTGCCTAAAGTCTGTTGCTAAAGTCCTTCCTAAAATAAACCCATTGAATCAATGAGATTTACCTATGTGCTGACTTTCTGTTCAACAATTCATTGAAAGGGTCTGCTCTAGTTGGGACTAACCAGCAGGATTCCAACAGAATTTGTTATTATAATTATTTATTGCATCTTTTCCCCCAGTTTGGGAATACAAGGCCCTACAGTGGTTAAAACAAACGTACTTAAAAGTTGGCAGTGCACAAAAAAACGATCATAAAATTTGAAGCCTATGGAAACAATAGCATGTCAAATAAAAGTCCAGGAAATCACATGGTACAAGGCCTGTTTCCCCTGAAAAATCAAATTCTCAAAGGTCCATCTGAGCAGAAAGGTTTTTACTTGCTACTAATGATTTATCGATCTGCGAAGGATTTATTGATCTGCTAATGATTTAGAGATCTTCTAAAGATCTATAGATTGCAAAGACCATGTGTGTTAGCATTTTCCACTAGCAGCAAGTTGGTCACATCTCATCCTAGTGCTATGCTATTTGGTACTGATTAAGAAATTTAAATTGTCAATTCCATATACATGTAGGAATTCTTGTACCTGGGAGCTGTTACTTTCCTTTGATTTACTGCTATGTTCTGCTTGTCTCTTTTATAAATGATCGGCAGTTGTGATAAAGTTGGTTGGTTGGTTGAGAAACTGACAATACCACTTTAAGAGATGCCTTGATCATCGCCTCTTAAGACAGAATAGCTGGTGATGCCAAGCGAGGTCACATTTGTCACAGTCCACCAACTGGAACATGCCATAAATTATAGATGGAAATGGATTAAAATACATTAAGGAGTTCCTCTAACAGATAGCAAAAATGTCAGTGTATAATAAAACAATCCCAAACGCATCTGAATAATGGGACTGGAGAACTTCGGAGTCCTTCTTTTACTGGCACACCGTGGAAACATTGCCGTGGTTTTTGTAACAGAGAAATCTATGTCTTCAAGAAAATGAGCTCCTTCCCACTGTAGTGAGCTAATGCGTGGGAAATTTAAGAAAGATGACCAAAATCCTGTATCAGCTACTTACGATAAGTACAGTATGATCCCCATATCCACAAATCTGGTACACATGGTTTCACTTATCCATGTCCAAAAACAAAAGGTCCTCTCAAGGCATTTTCTAGGTCCTCCAGTGCAATTCTATGGTATGCTTCTGGCCCAAGTTGACCATAGAGTCATGCTGGAGGACTCAGAAATGCCTAGAGAAGTGTTCTGTCTAGGAATCTCTAGGTTTTCCAGCATGACTCTGTGGTAAACTTTGTGCAGGACAGGTCCGGCGTTGAAACTAGGCTGCAGTTTTCAGATATTTTCTCACAAAGGGAAGAACATTGCGAAAATGATTCGGTGCTTCCTTCGAGAAGAAAATTAAGGAAGATCAACATGTATGCACCATCTCATTTTGTAGAGCAGAGTTGGAAATCATGCAGTCCTCCAGATATTGTTGGATTCCAAATCCCAGCAGCCTTGGGCAGCCACAACCAGTGGTGAGGAATTCTGGGAGCTGTAGTCCAACAACATTTGGAGGTCTATATGATTCTTCTGGTAATGTAGAAGTGGAGAGGCCTTGAGAAAGGTAAAGAGATGAGGGATGGGGAAAAGAACAAGACAAAAATGAATTCCCAAAATACTGGGGGTACTTGAGGGTGGCAACCATTACCCCTGGTATGGTACCAGGAGATTAATGTGATAACCTTTTGTCGGACCCACAGGAAAAGTGCCATCAATACTGGCCGGCCGAACGCTCTGCACGGTACCAGTACTTCGTGGTGGACCCCATGGCAGAATACAACATGCCTCAGTACATCCTCCGGGAATTCAAAGTCACTGATGCCAGGGTGAGTCAGTACCTGATTTGTGTCCAGGATCGGACAGTACTTGATATAGTGGGGGACCCTTGGTATCCGCTGGGGTTTGGTGCCCCCATGGGTACCAAGATCTCTGGATGTTCAAGCCCCATTAAATGCAGTGGCAGAATAAAATGGTGGTCCTTTTTTAAAACAGCAAAATCAGGGTTGGCTGTCATGTGAGACCTCCTATCTATGCCCCTCGCCAATGACACTTGTCCAGCATCCATCCTTTATACCCCTTCCCTAAATGTATAAGAGCTAGAGTCCCAAGTGTCTCCCTCTTATAAAGTTAATATTTCTTGTAGCATGTTTATATGTGCCTATATGGTTTAGAATTCACACAGCAGAGGCTTCTGTTGTAA